CCACCCTTAATGATTCTATGATTCTAATAGTTTGTGGCTTACAGTGCTTTACTAGGATGTGGGAGGCTGTGTTCATTTCCTTTTCCTTCCCTAAGGAAAGTTGATCTTGCATTTGCCATGTTCTGGCAAACATTGAGGTTTTCATTTTGTGCAGGTGTGTGAGATGTTTGTTTTAACCCATGTTCTTAAAGCAAGAACTGGAACTGTCTTGAGAGCGATTTTTATTTCTGCATGCTGAAACACGTGCACGTATACTTTGCTTCTTCGTCATCTCCAAGTCTTTAATGATACTGTCTGAAGAAATGGCATCAACAGAAGATATTAAGTGTTCTTTCTCGTGTATCCGTGCTAGAATCATCTACAATCTGCTGGTTGAGACACTTTCCAGAGAGGCAAGAAATGTGGATTCAGCCTTTTCTTTTAATCAAACCCATATCTTCTAACTGTAATAGCTAGTTGGTAAGAAAACACCCTAATCCTTCTAGCAACGGCTTTGAATGAAAATACAATGCTGCTCCTGTTTTACCTGAAGCTTAGTCTAGTAGACTTGAGACTGTCTTGTAGAGAGGTCCATTTGGACTTTGGAGTGAGGTGGGAGCTATGCCATTCATCTATGATATGATGGAGCCATTCAGGGCCATTTGCTGAGGCAACGGAGGAATTTTGCTGGCAAATGCAAGTGCCTAAATTTTCTGTCTATCTGGGCATTTGTATTTAGACTCTAGACATAATCAGGCTTGTTTTTTTAAAATCAAAGCATAAAAATCTTAATTTGTCAGAAAAAGAAGGCTGAGGCTACTGGACCTCATGAGTAAATTAGAGATACAAGAAGACTGCTTAGGAAATGTCATGGTAACTCCCCTCCACGGAAAAAATCATGCAATATGCACCTTTTTTACATGGAGACTGTGTAAGAGGCTGCCATTTTTACATGGCAGTCTCCAGCTGCCAAGAAACTTGTGGTTTGTTTGTGAGCATTCTTGGGAGTGCTTTAAGCTGTCAACCTGCAATGGGAGGCCACAGTTACCTTCCTCTCCAGTCTTGTAAAAAGGAACACGAAGCTACCAGTTGTTGTCTCCTAATGTAGTGATTTTGTTTCCTTCAGGGATCTGTTGCAATAGCTGGTGCTGTTGTTCGTTGGCTGAGGGACAATCTAGGTATCGTTAAGACTTCACAGGAAGTTGGTGAGTATTCACAATTTGGAGCTGTTCAGTTTTTTAAGTTTTCTTTTCCAATGTCTTCATGTCTCTAATGTTGAATGAAAGCTCAAAATATTCAAGTAAAGAAAAGCTGGAAGATGCATTTATTTTGCTGTGCTTGAATTTGTTCTGCATCCATGAAATCACTGTTCATTGATATATGTATTTCATACAGCATATCAATATGGTCTTTGAAACTCTTTGTCAGCTTTGTTCTATTGCAATCTGTAGTTTTTAGTAGTTTCTCCAGCAAGCAAATATTCAGGAAGATACTATACTTGCAGTGTATTTCCTCGTTTCATACAATATTGAATTTTCTAGAGCCAAGGGTATTTAAGTCTCTATTACAGAACCTAGAGCATATTTGATCCTAAACCTACGTATGCATTGCTGTCATAAACATGAGAACCTGATGCCCTACATATGCAACAATTTATGTACAAGGCTTCACATCCATTGAGTTAGGGACCTGAGTTTGCAAAGCTGCCTCTTAAAGGAATTGTGGAGAATGTTGGTCCATTTTGGCTAAGAATACAATAATCCTTTAGCATTTGGGTATCTGATGTTTTCTGCTTGAGCTGAACTGAAACAAGCTGGTGTGTGACATTTTAGAAACTAGGAATATATCAAACTTTGGAAAAGGAGAAAATGACAGAAGCATGCAATTATAACAGTTTGAAAGTGACTGATTTAATGAGATTTAGGATTAAAAAGCAATTCATTACATATTTTTAATAATTTGATATCTTAGTCAAAGGTGGAAAAATTTAGAATTCAAATTTTATGTAAAACTTCAAAGACTAAGCAAAAACTTAAAATCTCAGTCTGTTTTTCTGTAAGAAAGCTTCGCAGATCATACAGAAGAATATAAACTACTGTAAAGTGAATTAGCCAGCTGTTGAAACACTACAGTACCTGCTGGCTTCACAAGTTTGACTAGACCTTTGGAAGGTTTGAGTTTCAAGAACTTAAATCTTGTCAGTGTTGTTAAAGTCATGTGAGACTTCATCATCTCTTCCTGTTTCCCTGAACATTTCCTTCCTTCTTCCTTCTGCCTTCACTCCCTTTTTAAGTGGAGTCTGTATGAAAGTACCATTTTTAAAAGATTTTTTGAATAAGTTTTCCTACCTCCTTTCTCTATTGCTATGCTTCTCTGATCAATGCAAACAGCAGAAATTTACAAAAGCAGAAAAAAATACTTTCCTTTCTTGTTATAGGAAGGAGCTGCACATTAGCATTATTTGCTTGGCAGTTCTAGATGTTTTAATATAATTTTTAAAACTACAAATATTTTAGTATTGGGGAGTTCAGATACCCAAAGTTATTATTCAGATATTAAGAAACTTCAGATTTCCTTGTAGCTCGCCTTGTGATTATATACATAAGCTGAGAATTTAGAACTTTAGAACTTCAGAAATCCATTTGAAATTAATGGGAATTTAGTTTTTAACTCCCTTTGGTCTTGATCCAGTTTCACTTGCTTGCCTTGACTTAAATGCAAGTAAAGTGTGACCTTTTGGACTGCTTTGAAGGTTGCATTCTTTACCCACAGGATACCCTTTGAAAACCTCACAGAATCTAGGTCAGAATATTAAGGACACGATTTTGGCTTTCTTGGTTTGATTTTTCATTTTACATTTCCCACAACGCCCGATGCCCCATCTTCCATTCATATTGTTGCAAATGGACAACTAGTTAATGAGGAGCAGAGCGCCAGAGTTTTAGTTGTATTTTCTAATTGTATGTGGCTTGATTATTTTTGTAGCTACCTGACATGTTCTGAGTATTTTCCCTATTTAAATAATAACACCTTTAAGAATCATATTTAAGTGTTGGTACAGTTGTGAAAAGCTAAGTGAAGACTGTTTGTGTGTGTGCATTAGAAAAACTGGCTGCAGAAGTGGGGACTTCTTATGGCTGCTACTTTGTGCCAGCATTTTCAGGACTGTATGCACCATACTGGGAACCCAGTGCAAGGGGGTAAGGGTCTGACTAAATGTTGCATTTGCAGGGAGATTTAATGATTTCACAGATATTATCACTAGCCCTTCCAGGTATGTGAAATTGTTCTTTTTGTTCCTTTGATGTGTCTGGATACATCATTCTCTGTGGTATCTTCAAGCAACTACTGTGTTTCTCTTTTATGTTTAATCTGTTCGAAACAGCAACTGCTACTGGGAGAAAAAGAAGGATTAGCTAACTCAGCTACTCACCCTCCTCCTCCTCCCCCCTCCAAAAAAAAGGAGGGGGGGAGAAGGGAAAACGTTTGGGCTGGGTTGTGCATTTCAGAGGACAAATACAAGATAGTTCTATCATTCTGGCCACTAATGGGGCCAGCTTTTTTCCTCACGCATTTCTGGTTCTGAAAGGATTTTCGTCTCACTAAAGAGGAGGTGTGCATACCTGTGAGCTGTCCGGCAACAAAAGTAGAAAGTGAAGAATTTAGTTTTTCTGAGCTCAGTTTCCCATGGCTGCTGCATTCACTATCTCAAATGATACAGACTATTTAATTCCTCCTCACTTCTCCTCCCTCTCCTTCCCCTTATGTCCAGCTTTCTTTCCAGTCTATTGAACGCTCTTTTCTCCTCTCCTTCCAGTCCCTTTCCTGGTTGTTAAGACTTAACCAGCTGGTAGTAGTTAGAACTACTAGTTCAAACAATAACTTGCTATTTGTCTTTTCTGCTATTGTGAGCTTGCCTACTGTTGCTGGAATAACAACATGCCATGGGAGTCACAGAAGCATAACAAATTTAAATATAAAATAACTTTCCTAAAATGAAAAAAGAAATCTTAAAGAATATCTAGTTCCCAAGGTTTTGAGTAATTGCATCTTTAGAATTTAGATGCTTCTTGTACGTAAGGAAGAAAAAAGTCTTAGAGTTAGATGTTTTTACAGTTTGTCAGATCACAGTGCTTAACTTTTTAACTGTTAAAAGCTCATCTTTGGAATGGTAACAACTAAAAATGTCCTTTAATATCTTTGAACCTGCATGAATCCAGCACCAAATATAGCAGCGTTTCTGTGTAGTACACTACTATTCCTCACATGTTGAAATAGAATAAAAGGATGATTATTTGTTCTGCAGTTCGGAATACATTGACAGAATTCAGCTTACTCATGGTTAGATGTAGCATAATTTCCATACCAAAAATCTCTTTGAAGGTGCAGAAGCAACTAATGATTAGAATAGATCTGAAAACAATTTTAAGCATTTAGAGCACAGCACTGACCCAGCTGGGCTTTTCCTTAAGAACTGAAAGCACCAGAGAATTTATTAAGATCTTAGTGATAGGTGATATTATTTTTTAAAGAAAAATCAGCCCCAAACATACATTTCCTTTTCTTAAAGGAAGACTAGAATTTGTGTGTGTGTGCGCGCGCGTGAATATGCACCCATTTGCATGCAGATTGGCAATAAATTTTAATTTATGGCAATTGTATTGATTGGACACTGAAAGCATGTTTGTCAGGAAAACAGGGATGAGAGAGTTTAGATTAAAGAGAAACAAGCTTTTTAATATTAAAAAGCAGTCCTCATACAATGGAACTGAATGAGCTTTGAATTAGGCCTATGCCTGAAGCAGTGGTGTACGTCTGGTAAAGAAGTATGTCCTAACTGTTGTGTTTTTTTTTCCTCTTCAACAGTATTATCTGTGGCCTTACTCAGTTTACAAATAAAAACCACATCGCCTTTGCTGCATTAGAAGCGGTCTGCTTTCAAACACGAGAGGTAAAGGCAAATTGGGTCTTAAATTCATTGTGAATTAGTATAACAGGGACTGAAGCTCTTCAGGAAGGGAGAGGATTGAAAAGATTTAATGAAGATTAATCATATGCTTTATATTGTATTTGGATGCTATTCTTCTCTTTACATGGTGCTAATGTTGAAAAATTGTTCCCGTGGACTTAGCTACAATGGTCTGGTTGGGTGGTACGTTATTTTGGGGTGGCAATCGCGCTTTTTATCAGCACTTAAAGCAAAGTGAACGTATTTTGTCAATATTTTGGGAAACATTAAAATGACAAGGCCAGTGCAATAACTAAAAAGTTGCATTAGTTCTACAACTTAGGAGACTACATTTTATATTGTCTACTGTGATGGAGATGGCTTATGTGGCTTTCGGTACACAAGAACAAAAATGAGTTAAAGCAAGACAGCAGCAAACATAGCAAGGGAAATCTGGATTCACTTCTGGCCCATTACATCTTGCATTGCTTTAGCTGGCATTCTGCAACAGCAAACCTAAATTCTCACAGAAGAAATGAATCCTCCAACCAAATCAAAGAGGTTGATTTGAGTATGTTCTAAGCATTAGAATGTTTATATCACCATCTACTATCAGTTTACGCTCCCTGTATGTGTTCCATACAAATACAGGAGAAAATGCAATCCCTAGACCCCAAAGGGTAACAAGTCAAACCTTAATTTGATTGCATGTTTTCAAACTTCTGTTATTTAAACATAATAAGTTATAAAATAACACCCAGCTAAAACTGTGTGAGAGGAGAAAAACAGCTTGCTGTTTCTGTAGTGACATAGGATAGAGTAAGAAGTACTCATGTGGAAAAAGACAGCCAGAAATTTCACCCAGGTGACTGCTTTTGAAGCTATGCTAACAGCCTCTGAGTCCTCAGAAAGTTGTGAAGGAGCTTGGAAGTAGCATATATCTCTAATCTGGTACTAGAAGTCAGGGTAAAGTTACAGGGAACTGAACTGATAGTCCAGTTTGTTGTCTGTTCCTCTCTTTCCTTGTCCCTCCCATCCATTTCCTCTCATGTGACAGCTCAATGAACTTTCCAGCAGAAAATTATCCCTCTTTTACTGGGCCATTTTTCTGCTGGATTAATGACCTCAGCTGCCTCGCAGAGGAGTGTAGCAAATGTCAGAACAAGAGACAGGGCATGTGGCTGGGAGTAGGAGGGAGGGGAATAAAGCTCTCAGTCTGAGTGAGGGTGAAGTTAACTGTTTGAACAGATCTAATACTTCCTCATACTTTACTCAATGTGCTTTTATCACAGTGACAGGAGTGCCTGATTAGGTCTCTGGACACACTTAAATTAACAGATTAAGTCCTAGTGACACAGATAAAATATATGTACATTTTTCAAAGATACATTGTTAGTTCTGTCTTGTCAAAAACAAAGTTCTTTTGTTTTCATTCCAGTTAAAATGGAAGTCTTTTGTATCCTTCAGGAAAACCCTCAAATTTCATGTTCATTGGAGTTTTTGCTTGTTTTATTGTGCCGTCCAATCCTTCTAAGTCTCTGTTCCTTGTTATCCAAAAAGCTCCTTCCTTGTGCAGACAGATAACACTTACTACGTTTTTTCTTCCAGAAGGCATTATGAAAAAATAAGCAATTTTTCAGTTCTAAGAGCTGTATGATGCTGTCATTAGACAAAACTTACATACTTGGATACTTTGCTCTTCATCCAACCTCAGTACAATAGAGACAGCAGCAGCATGATCATGATTTGTTTTGGTCTTTCATCCCTTCCTGATTTCTAGCATTCTTTTCATTTTTTTCGTCTCTACTGAGTGCATAGTATGATCCAACATGCTGTTGCACCTGGTAAATAAAGCCAGAGCCTCCAACAGTATGTGTATGTCAAGCTGAGATTATGAGGCACTGCTGAAGTTCTGAATGGTAAAAAAGGTATGTGAAATCAGCATAGACAAATGTAAAATGATACATGTGAAAGAAATAAGTGGTAGGGAGCAGTACTAGCTTAGTACTGCCAGCAAACTTTGCTGCTGTACTATGAATCCTCTTTTCCAGGTTATTTCTAATGTATTGAACAGTGCACGCCCATGGACAGAATCTGCCACCATGAAAACTGGCCTTTTACTCATACCTTCCAATTTTTAACCAGTATTTATCCTGTAGGAGTTCTTTTAGTTCCTTTAAAGATTTTCTGGTAAGGGACCTTGCTGACTTACTTTCTGGGAACGGGTAGAATCTACTGGACAACTCATCTCCATGTAGTTTTTACTACCTTACAAACCTACAATTTTTTTGTTCTTTTTTAAAAAACATGGTGACTTTTCCCAGTAAGGTATGCGTAACTGGCTACTTTGTGAACTACAGAACAGCGCAGAACGCGTTGTAGTTTTGGTCTTTTTTGCTTTGTCATTTAAAGCTGAGGAAAGCACACCTCTTTTTTGTTCAAATAAATAGGAAATTACAAAGAGAAAATCATTCTGCACTAGTTAATGCCTAACTTTGTCAACAAAAATTATGCACTAACCTTAAAAAATGTAAATGAGACATTTAATTGACTGCTTTTACAAAAGCCTAGAAAACCCACTATTCTGCATTTAATAGGTGCTTGTAGGATAAAGCTGTAGTGTTACCAGTAGCTAAGGTTTGAGGCAAATCTTACATTTTTAGGAAGCCCTCTAAAAAGCATATTGATAGGTATCAGTGAATTAAAGACTCCTCTGTTAGTTAATTATCCCTTGCAAACACTTCAACACTTTTCATTTATTTTCAGCTACCCACTGTGCCCACAAGAAGGAAACATAATTTTACAAAAAATTACACTAACAGTTTATTTTTGCAGTCTGTCTTGTGTAATGTAAAATTCTTAATTTTCAACAACCAATTGAAAATATTTCAAGAGGCTGCTCTTTCAAAACAGTTCAACGTTCAGCAGTTCCTGTTGAAATGTCTTCCAGGTTGCCAGTTCAAACGTTTTAATTTTTCAATTCTTTAGTGCATCAAATTAGAGAAATTATCTAGGCAAACTGTAATCAGCTAAAGGACTCTGTTTAGTATTACATCTTCCTTTGTTAGCTTTGATAAATGTTGTAGTTGTCATCAGATTTTCTTCAAAATTATTCTTCTCAGACCATATAAGCAACACATAGGAGAAACATCTCCTACATTAGGATTTCTGTAAAAAATAGAACACATCTGCTGTATATTAAACAAAACTGTATTGTCACTACCTCTGTTTTGACCTCTTGATATATAGGGGAGGGAAATTTTCTACTTAACACTCTTCAGCAAATGCTGAATTATCAGTATTTTACACTCAGAGGGTATCATGGATTTCTCTGCAATTAAATCATAACATATATTTGTCTTACTTAAGATTTTAGATGCCATAAACAAGGACTGTGGGATACCACTAAATCAGTTACAAGTAGACGGAGGAATGACCAATAACAAAGTCCTCATGCAACTCCAATCAGACATTCTCTGTATTCCAGTAGGTAAGATGAAATTACAACTCCTATTTTCTTTTTAAAGCTGAAAACAACATTGGTTTGTAACGGCTAATGAGGGCAAATTGGGTGGCTTGCTTTGTTGTTGTTGCTGTCTTTTGCTACTGCTTGAGAATGTTGGGGTTTTTTTCAGAAAAAGTTTTTAGATTTTGCATCCAGTTTTGAGATTCACTTTCATAGAGAATCACTGACTCATTTCTTGTGTTGAAATATTACAGCACCGTGATGGTATTGAACTTTAAAGTTGTCATATCAATTTCTAAACATCTAACAATTTTAAAATCAGTTAAATTAATGCTCTCCTGCAACATGTTGGCCCTGAGAATCTTGCTCAGAGATAAATCAGAACTTTGCTTGTGTTTTGCTCTTGCATTTTCTGTTCCCTTTGCCTGCACAAACCTTTGATTTCATTTACAATGTAAAAGAAGACCCACAAAACACATTGTCCATTCTGTTTCTTCCCACAGCAGCAACAAAGAAGGGAATAGAGGTTACAACAAAAGTGGGAATCTTGCAACGAGTTTTCTTGGCATGCATAATATGAAATACAAACCCAAATGGGGTTGTTCCTCTGAGGCAAATTGAAAGTTCACAGTACCATTATTCTGATCCAACAGCAATGCAGACATTTTAGAAATGATCATGTAACATTTCTTTCACAGACGCCCCCTAGATTAATAAAAAGGTTTTTTAGCTTTTGAAGGATGTGTTTCAATACACTAAAGCTCTTTAAAGACCTCACTTAAAACCTAGAGCATTTCAGCATCAGTGAAAAGGGTGCATCTTTCTGAAAATATGTTTTAACACCTGTAGCAGATCCCAAGTTGCCAAGTATTGCGAGCTATACATTAGCATTCTTAAGGATGCAGTGTGTCACTGAGTAACATCAGGATATTATACATCTTCATCCATACTGAAGACTGATAACTTGCTGCAGAAATGTAGTAATCTTGCCTAATATGTAGCTTCTAGAAAATCAGTTAGAAAAACATTGCGTTGTCTCTTATGCATAAATGTGAGATGCTTCAGTGGAAAGTTTTTAGCTCTAGAGATTATAGCTTGCCTTTAATAATACGTAATACACAAGGCTCATACTATCAGTGCAGATGCGTAGTTAGCAGATGAAAGGATATGATCAATAAAATAAGATTTTAAAGGTTCCTCTCCCTGAAACAGAGAAGCAGGCTGTTCTAGAGTTAATGGAACAGATTTACCATTGACATCTTGGGGGTGGGATGGTCTTCTATAGCATCTGTGGAAGGCAAACAAGCTAGTAAGTACAGGTGTGTAGCCTCTTTAGTTCTGATGTCATCAAGGTGACTTTCATTAAAATCATCATGGCCTTCTCTGTGATTTACTTCAGTAAAGCCATCAATGCCTGAAACAACAGCTCTAGGAGCTGCTATGGCAGCAGGAGCTGCAGAAGGAGTTGGAATTTGGAGTCTGAATCCTGGAGATTTGACAGCAGTGACATGTGAACGATTTGAACCACAGATCAACCCAGAGGGTAAAACCGTTTTGTATTTTCTAAGAAGTTGCAAACTTATTATTTTATGTCCAACAGATTGGGTTTTTTTCTTTGTTGCAGTCTAACATACTGATATAAAAACAGCCATAGATGAATATCCTCACAAATGTTGAAGATAAGCTTTGCAGTGTTTGGTTTAGAGAAAAGTGGATTTCATTTCTTGTTTTGTCCATTTGTTGATTAGTAAGATTGAAAAATGGTTAAAACAACGTAACTCCACAAGGGAATGTGTTGGGTTTTTTTTCTTTCTTCTTTTTGAAAGAAGCTTGGCACTGGGTGTTGCAGTTAATAGCTTTTGATTTATAGCACGTAAAATCAAAGAATCTTGAAAGGTTTTTACTGAGAAAGATGTCTCCTAAGATGTGCATCTGTGAGTTTTCACGGACATAGAAAGGACAGACTGACTGTTTTGGGGAGACTTTTCTTCTGGCTTTAAAAAGCCTACATTAATTATTGTTTTTTAGCTAACTATCTTTTTTGTCAGTTCTTAAGTGCTTCTAGAGATGGAAAGCATGGACTTGATATAACTAATCCATGTGCAAGACAAATGCATTTTTGTCTTTCAATTGTTTCTTAATTTTTGGTACAGAATTTTGTCTTACCATTTTGATTATAATTACTGCTATAATCCCTACTTCAAGACAGTATTTTCAACACTGAGGGGCTTCTACATGAATAACAATTGCTTCATTTTGTCCTACTTGTAAATCTTCTTACTGGTGAACATGCAGAAAATTGTTTTTAAGGTTTATTTCTCCTTACTGTGCATAACTGTGGGGTTTGGGGTTGTTGTTTTGGTTTCTTACTCAGAACAGCATTTTATAATACTTGGTCTGTGCAGACAAACTGTACTGTGCAAAAAAGTGGAAAGCTAGTATTGTAGTCTTTGCTTCTTAAATACTTGTAGTTGTATTCATATGCGTTGAGAGGCTTTTCTGTTTGCTGATTTCTCAATTTCAGAAAGTGAATTTCGCTATGCCAGATGGAAGAAAGCTGTGATGAAATCTATGGGCTGGGAGACATCTGAAGCTCCTCCAAATGGTAAACCAGAAATTAATGCAGGTCAAATATTATTAATTAGCCAATTAGCTTAGGTAGTTAATCTTGAGTTTGGTGACCTTTTCTGTTCACACCATTTCTGGACTATTGCAATGATTTAAAAATTATTAATTAAAACCACTGTGGAAACAAAGCAGGAAAACAGACAGATAGGTCTTCCTCTTGAAAGGAGGGCCCAAGCAATGTCTTGTAGGGCTCTAAAAACAGAGGACATGAAATCAAGACTAACTGCAGGTTTTGCAGAATACCATTGGTTTACAAAAGAAAAAAAAGTCTTACCTAGAAGAGGAGATATAGTGCAGGGATTTTGTAAACTTCCTTATATTATAACCTCATGTTGCAAAGGAGAAAAGTTTCATCCTGTGATTTTTCCTGCTATATCTTGCCTTTATTATTTGCTGTATAGGAAGGAGGGATTGATAGCCACATCAAAATCTGTTTGACCCACAAGGGCTAAGAGCAAGAAGTTACCATAAAGTGAAGAGTTGCATGGATGTATTGTTCACATACAGAGAATATACAAACACTTTTGAGGGACTGAACAAGATCTTTCTTTTGAAGTAGAGGGCTTTTCGTCTGTTAAGTTTTAGTTAAATAAAACCTGTAGTATTCTATGATCTATAATTTGAATTTGTATTTCAGCACTATTTCAGGATAAGCTTTTAGTTCTGAATCATCCTACAACACATCATTTATGGGCTTTATCTTCATTTTCTTTCCCTTTCGTTGGAAAAACTATTAGAATGAAAAGTATTAAGTAAAGAATCCTCAAAATGTAAACTCCCCCCACAATCCACAGTTGCAGCCCTCAAGCTACATGAAATCTCTTAATTTATCCTTGAAAGCTAAAGCTAAAATTTTCCTTTTACCATTCTATATGTTGGTTTAAGTATTTTTAACACCATTGTTATACAAACAATTCTGTCAAGGCTGTTTGGAAGGGAAATAGGTAACTTAGCATGAGTAACAAGATTCACTTCAGTATTGTCCATTATGATTTAGTAGCCTTGCATCTAAACTCTCTGTTATGTATCCTAAAATCCCAAGTGCTTGATGCATATCTTACTTTATAGATCTTTATTTCCTTTTGAAGGACAGAAGATTCTGCCTTGCAGAAAATAAAACTAGATCTTGTTCTTCAGCTCATGTGAAAAGGGATATGTTTATCAAAACTTACCCTCAGTGATTATCTGGTTTAACGCTGGGGGGGGAATGTTATTTTCCTTAGTTCTTGCTTTGAAACTTTGTCTTCCTCCTGTTAGGGGTGTTTAAGATTGAAGAATACTAGAAATGGGCTCAACCTAGATAGTGGTAACAGTGGAATTTGGATTTGAACTCTTACCTTGAGAGCCTGTTTTGAATTATTATGGGGGTTATGCAAAATCTTTTTTAGTTTTTCTGCAAATGTCACTACATTTGTTACTTTTTGCTGTTCATATGATTTTTAACACATATATTGCAATTTATATATATATTTCTCTTTTGATTTGCTTGACTGGAAACACCCTCCCCTGGATGACATCAGGTGACACTAGTATCTTCTGTAGTCTGCCTTTGGGTTTTTTTATTATGAGTAGCATGATAATGTTAATCGGAGCAAAGTACGTCTCAGGTTAGTTATTATTTGAACAAGATCACTTTAAAAGCTATCTACACTAGTTTAAGTGTTGGGTTTTTTTGTATTCCATCTGTTTATTTTTAGCAAAAATGACTGATGCTTTTTGTTGTTCATGCACACGAGTGTTTGAGGGTGTGAATTAGACATAAGGGAACCAAGTGAATGCCATCTTGAATTCATCCTCATGTGCCGTGAAATTCGTAGTTGTTAGATGCACATGAAACCTCGAACTCTCCCCTTCCTTTGTCTACCTGTGCAGACTGTACACAGTTTATAAAAGGGATATAGGTTGGAGCAGCCTAGCAGAGTTTTGCATTGCCTGTATTGTAGTGTGCATTGCTGTTAGAATAAGGTTCCATCCTTATCCTGTATTTCTTCTCATAACGTTTAAAATTGTTTTGAGGATCTTGTTTAAGTAAAGTTAAGACTCTTCTTCTGTCGCTGAAAGGCTTCATGCACCCCTTTCATTTTTCTGGTCCCCTTGGAACTATTGTATGGTTAGAAATCTTCGTCTACTAAATCTATAGAATATTCTTTTTGTACTTTACTCTTGATGGATAAGTGAATTCATTTTGTGTAAAGAGAAGAGACTCTAAAAGGCCTATCTGCAAAACTGGGGAAAGGGACTGTGTGCATATGCAATGAAGATGCATCTTCAACCTATTAATATATGTTTTATTTTAAAAGAAAGTTCTTAATATGGATGACGGTGTTAGTTACTTATGCCAGAAGTAAGACGTTTCATTAAGATACTTTTATGCTAAGAAAAATAAGTTTATATGGTGATGTTATTTGTTCTTTGTTGTTGTGTTTCATAATTTCATTCCAAAGAAAATATTTTATAGTATAGCCATTGTTGCGGCTTAGTAAGCTTTTTGGGGGTGGTTGTTTAGTTTTCTTTCTTTGTTTTGGTTTTGGTGGGATGGGCGGGGCGTATTAATTAAACAGACAATTGAGGATTCTAGCATGCTCCTGTGATGATGTGTTTGTATTTTGTTTCTACTCCTTCAGCCTGAATTAACTATGCAATTGTAATTTTCCTTGCATGGAAGAGACTGTCTGAGCTTGTAGGAGAACTAAAATCAAACTAAACAAATGCTAGGCAAAAATCAAACTGAACAAATGGATTGACATTGATTTACTAGCTCTGGAATGTATCTGTGAATGAGAACAATCTTGATTATGAAGAATAAAGTAAAACCAGCTGAGAATAAGTGGGTGAATTTTTAACAAGCTGAACTAAGCAACTTGAGTATTAATTCCAGGTCAGGTTCTTCACCACGTGGGGGATACCTAAAATAATACGAAGATCAGTGTTAAGTGGGCAGATAAGCAACTTAAATTCTGGGTTTATTGCTTTTTAAAAACAACTAATCAGTAACCTGTAAATAAATATCTAAACTTGCACCTGCTGGAACTCATAAAAAAAGATTTTCTCTTTTTCTTCCTTCCCTAAGCTTGTCCGTGCCTTTCTGACCCACAAGTGGAAAACATATTCATCTCAACTCACTCTTCCCTTCAGAACCCATTTTTGCCCTTGTTTTCAGATAACAGTAACTGTTGATAAAGTTACTGTTACTACTATATATATATAGTTACTATATATACCAATATAGTTACTTTATATACCAATATATTGGTATATTATTTACATGGTAAGCCTGGGGACAGGAGAAGTTGCAAGAACTTTCCAGCTCTTACTTGTTTTAAAAATTACGATGTCTAAAAAGGAATAGTATCAGTGATGATACGTACAGGTTGTAGTTTTGCTCAGCTGTGTGTTAGGGTAGAACATGATATATAGAATTTGTGTTGCTGATTGGAGCAGGGTTGCTTCCCCCTTAGACATTTACTCTTGTAAATATCCTTTTGCTTTTAAAAGCTGCAACTAGCTGACCAGACTTTCCTTATAATTCAGTACAGGAACTCCATTAATTAATTTATTACATTTTATCTTTTAATGAAACACTGGAACTCCAACACGGTCATCAGTATAGTAGATTTGAGGATTGAATCTACTGAGGATTGAATTCAGCCTTCATGTGCTGAAACAGCAGTAAGTCTTGCATGGCAACAGTACTGTTGTTGAACATGTCTCTGTAGGGCAGGGCTATGATTTTACAACTACTGAAATGCAAAGGAAAAATCTGCTGTGGCAGAACAGAGAACAGTAACGTAGCAAAAACCCATTTACAGAACTGCTAAACTAACTGCCTTTTCATGCAGCACCTGGTGACTGAGTATGAAGAACAATACTGCATTTCATTATATCATCTCATAATTTCATCAAAATCAGGTCAATTGTACTTTATTTTAAGATCTTCATTATTCTTCTTTCCCAGGGGAGAAAGGGCCAATATTTTGTTTTATTTCACTATTAAAGCAAGTTGTGTGCAGCGACTGGAGTCCTTATGCTAAGATTCTGTTATGTTTTTCACACTAGTTTTGGAAGTGGACATCTGAGAGGTTTCAACATATTCTGTAGCTGTACTTCTTTGGGGGTGGGAATTAACTGAAAGCAATACTATATTTTATTACACTCAAATTTAAAGAAATGCCTTTGCATGCTTAAATTGGCACCTCTCAAGTGAGGTATAAGTGGGGATTGGCTATATACAGAATCTTATGTGACATCTGGAGTATAAAGTTCTTTGACTTTATTCTCACAGAATAAGGTGTCAGTGCTGATAGTAATACTATATTCTTTCTGCTTATACTATATTCTTTCTGCTTAAATACCCTTTGGGGTTTTTTTTAAGATTCTGTTTTTCTTTTTTAGTTTCTTGTGTTGTGATAGTTACTGCCAATTTACATATAGGGATCACTATGCAGTTCTGCAAGTTAGTGCAATAGTATTTCCCAGATGCCTGAAAGCTGAGCTCATATTCAGGGAAAAAAAAAAAGCTTAGAGTACCTTCCTTCAATTCTTCTACTTGTTAAAAATTTACCCATCTTCATAGTGTGGTCTCTTCTCTCCTACTGTATGCACATCCCACACACTTAAGTGCTGGCTTATCTGGTGTCACAAGATACATCTAATTTATAATTGCATTGATTGAAAACAGAAGATGGTTACACTGAATTCCTCTTACAGCTCAGCTGTGTTATAGAGTGTTATTAATGTTTTAGAGTAAATTCTATGTTACTAATGCATGTTCTCTCTTATTTAAGGTACTGGTAAATGAGACTACTTAGTGGACTCTCTGGATGCAGCTGATTTTTTTTGTTTTGTTTTGTTGTCTGAAGAGATTCCACCACCAATGTGATTATACTACTTGTGTGACTAAATCCATTCATTAATCCATCTGTTGCCAGTCCCTGAGTAATCTCCCAGTGGTACGCTGAAACTTAAGTCTTCAGCCCTTCATTACTCTCCTCCCTTCCCCATCAACTCCAACTGCACTGGAGGCCTTCAGGTGGACTATCCGACATCATCCTCTAAAATTTCACAAGCCCTAGCTTTGTTTGAGAAAGTTGGTGTAACAAAACCCTGCAACTTCGGAGGTAATGTCAGATGTTTAGCTATCGTTGTCAGGGTTTTGGTACTTTACACAACACACTGCAGAAAGTTAATGGTGCATTGTAGAACTTCGTAAATATCTTACAATTCTTCTAGCTGCTGTGAATTACTTTTTGTATGTCTATGGTTGCCAAAGATGTTTTATTGTAGTGGCCACTGGTCTGAAACACCTTCAATGGTACAAACCTTTTAAACACTAGCTCAAAATGTATTATCAGTAGCACACATTGCCACCAGTTCACCACCAACCCTTCGAGCCCCACATTGGGCGCCAAAAAGGACTGTTGTGGTTTAACCTGGCAGGCAGCCAAATACCACGCAGCTGCTCACTCACTCCCCCCTCCCAGTGGGACGGGGAGAGAATCGGAAGGGTAAGAGTGAGGAAAAACTCGTGAGTTGAGATAAAGACAGTTTAATAGAACAGAAAAGGGAAAATAATAATGATAAAATATACAAAATGAGTGATGCACAATGCAATTGCTCACCACCCGCGCTGACCGATAACCAGGTAGCGATCGGTACTTCCTGGATCACGCCTACCATTCATATACTGAGCATGATGTCACATGGTATGGAATACCCCGTTGGCCAGCTGAGCTGGCTGTCCTGATGATGTTCCCTCCCATCTTGTGTACCTAGCTCAGTCAGTAGGCATGGGAGCTGTCCTTGCACTAGGAGGGCACTTAGCAACAACTGAAAACATCAGTGTGTTATCAACATTCTCCTCCATACTAAGTCCAAAACACAGCACTAAGAAGAAATTTAACCCTATCCCAGCCGAAACCAGGACAAGAAGTTGCTGATATGGCCCACAGAGTACTGTTGAAATGATCAATTGCAAAGTTAAAAAGTTTGGTTTGGCTTCTGGTGTATGTAGTGAGTTTGCCCATTATAAGTAAGACACTAAGTCCTGTAGCTGTACCTTTAAAGAGATAGGAGTAAATAGATGTTTTCGTTAAGGCCATGTTTCATGTTCTTGTGCTTTTGTGTTAGATTGGAAAGACATGCTATTGAGACGACAGCTTCTTGGTCCTCAGCAACTGATAACTCTTAAAACTACTCTGTACAATGCACTTTTCTTGACCAATACTGGATATATTACACTAAGTCCTGTAGCTGCACGTTTAAAGAGATAGGAGTAAATAGATGTTTTCGTTAAGGCCATGTTTCATGTTCTTGTGCTTTTGTGTTAGATTGGAAAGACATGCTATTGAGACGACAGCTTCTTGGTCCTCAGCAACTGATAACTCTTAAAACTACTCTGTACAATGCACTTTTCTTGACCAATACTGGATATATTCTGTCATCTGCTTAAGGATATTTTAGTGACTATTTGTTAAACTTTTGAAAGTTGAAGCTAACTTAGTTTTCCTTAAAGAGGGTCCACCCCAAATTAAATATCAGTGCTTTAGTTCTTGATCACATTTAGTATATCTCAGGGACCAAAATCTCCCTTTCAGTTTCCATGTCCATAGTTTTAACAGCAAGTTGTTGCAAAATATGCTGGGACAACCCAAAACCCTGGCTTGGAAGAGCAAGCACTTGGCACCTGAAACAGGCCACTGGAATTCACAGGCAACCTGCCTGACAACTGAGTTGTGTCCACTTTGAAACTTTTTGTCCTCCACAGGTAAAGGAGTGAGGCAATAATCTTATCTCCAGCTTTTCTGTTTGTACCGACAGCATGACAAATGCCAGCCTTACTGGTTAGGTCAGAGAAAATGCGCTCAGTATAGAATGATGGTGAGGTTAAATGTGGGAACAACATGGAGAATTTCAAAGATGTGTTTAAATGCACTAGGAGTTAAAGGGAGGGGGTTTTTTTGTGTGTGCGTTTGTTCTTAGAGATTTTTGTCTTTAAAAAAATAGTCTTTAACAAAGTTTGTTTTTCTTTGTTAAACTATGATTAGAGGCTTAGTTTTTAAGATGATGTTAAGTGTGTGTGTCTGGAGCAATGGATTGCACAGAAGTTCAGGTCTGTAAAATATATTTAATATCAAATGCATCTTAATTGCCTTTTTATTATCAAGTGCAATGACCTTTGAAAATGTGACTTTTAATTAAGAAGTTAGAGAAGGAACATTTTTCGTCCTGTGGTTGCATGTATAAATTCAACAGGGGAGATTTTTGTGCACAAGTGAAAATACAACATCATTCAAATCCTGTATCTCCTATAAATACTCAAATGTGAGATGTGACAACTAAAATTTCTGGGGTTTCCAGCTTGTATTGGAGAGGTGAAGAAAGACTGAAAAATGAACATGAACCCATAGAAAAATCTTTATACTCCTTACCTTTACTCAGAGCTGTTGCTGATCCCACCGTACCCCAGGGAGCAGGAGTAAGAGCACCTGTGGAGCACAGAGGGCAAGGGCAGCACACACTTCAAACACTGGGCTTCTGAGTACGACTTCTTGCCAAAAACACTGAAGTACTGAACCTGGGAACGATTAATGTTGAAGTGCTGCCTTTGCCAACGATGTGTGTGGCGGGGGGAAAGGTTGCACAGAATAAGTAGGAGGGGGATTTTTTGCTGCTTTTCTGACTTACCTTTTACTGGGAAACACAATTCCTGTTACTTTTTCACTGAGTAAAAATCATTATTTTATTTTCAATTGCTGTTGCAAATATTTTTTTAAGAATTTCACACCACTGTTAACTTTCTACCAACATAGTTGAAATATATTGTAAACTGCATGTTGGGGGGGAGGGGACAAACTGTTGAAAGTTGGCTTTTTGTGAAGCTGTGATTTATTTTTTTCTACAAATTACCAGATTTATAAATTCTTACTTGAGAAATGCATTAACTTGGTATTAAAATACCATAAATAAATTGATGTCAATTTATTCTTGCACGTTATCTTTCAGACGCATTTTCATTTATGTTTTTCACATGAGGCATTAGCATATGTTGACGCATACTAAACAATAGAGCACCTTCTTTAAGTATCACAGACACATCCTTTAACTTGCTCAGATACACGGCTCAAACACATGCAGTATTGCATTCTGCTCTTCAGGGATATATTCAGTTTCAAGGACTGGATTAGAAAATACGTTTCCTCGAGTCCCTCCGTATTCAGGAAAACACAAGTGGAATGACGAAAAGGAACACAGTCGTAACACAGGTTTGATCCCAAAGTCTCGAACAATGTTGCTGGGTGGGACCGACAGGCCAAATGGTTTTTGCTCTTATACCATGGTCTGGTAATCGCTACAGAATAAAAAGCCGTTACGAGTTGGGGGAAGCAATGTTCATGGAGCAGAAAACATTGCTGGGGGCACTAGCCAGGAGCGCAAGGTGTTTATGTTATTTTAAGAAAGCAGCATGGGGGGTATGTGTACATGTGGAGGGTACACGTATGGAGTGTGGCTGCCAGACTCTTGTTTGTTCTGTCTCTATATAGCTGCCACTTGTATTCTACAAATGTAGTGCTGTGTAATTATACCAAGGATATAGCCTTCATCCGTAGTCTTTACAAAGTCTTTAGTCCCCTATATCAAGATCAGTTGTGTGAGTCGGAAACACACACTTCCCCCTTAAAAAAAAAGCATTTAAATATCCTATCAGCACAGAAACCTTAGGTAACATGTTATTACTCAGTACCAGACTTCTCCCTCTGCTCGTGCGACTCTAGAGTCTTCCTTTCACATGGTAAACTTACAGCCTTGCCCTTAGCTGCCCTGCACAAGAGCACACTCAAATTTCATGATGCGTCAAGCTGGAATGTTATGAGATGAGAACATCATTAATGTAATTAGTACCAGAAATTTATATGTATAAATAATTTTTGTTCAACAAAAGCTAATACAATGTCTAGTCTATTATTAGAACTATACAAACAAGCTTCTTAATATCCTTATCAGCATCCAAGCCATAATCTTTCCATCTAAAGAATCCTGGATCTGCAGCTATTGGAATGCTGTCCCATTAAGAGCTGTAACACAAGCCCAGTATGTTGTTGTTTTTTTTTTTAATTATTATAATTGACCAGCATTTTCGGAAGTGGTACTCATCAGTCCTGGAGATAAGGGCAGGCAAATGAGTAGCAGCCCTTTAAAGCTTGGAAATGACAGAGGAACATTGCTGGAGTGATTTTCCTATGCTGTCCAGAGGGACCCCAACAGGCTGGAGAAATGGGCTGGCAGGAACCTCATGCAGTTCAACAAGGGGAAGCGCCAAGTCCTGCCCCTGGGAGGAACAACCCCAGGCACCAGGACGTGCTGGGGCCAACCTGCTGGGAAGTGGCTTTGCAGAAGAGGCCCTGGGGGTCCTGGTGGACACCAAGTTGAGGCAGCAATTGCAAGAAAGAAGGCCAACAGCACCCTGGGCTGCATCAAGCAGAGCATCACCAACAGGTCAAGGGATCCTTCCCCTCTAATCAGCCCTGGTGGGACACATCTGGCGTGCCGGGTCCAGCTCAGGCATCGCCAGTATGAGAAAGACACAGACACACCAGAACGAGTCCTGTGATAGGCCACAAAGATGGTTAAAGGATTGGAGCATCTGTCATATGGGAGAAGCTGAGAGATCTGGGACTGCTCCACTTGCAGAGAGCTCAGATATAAATACCTGATGCAGGGAGTAAAGGCAATGGAGCCAGAATGTCCCCTCTGTGGTGCCCAGTGACAGGACGAGAGGCAATGAGCACAAACTGAAACACAGGAAATTCCATTCAAACAAAAGAAAACAATTTTTTATTCTGAGGGTGGTCACACAAGGCAGCAGGTTGCTCAGAGATGTTGTGGAGTCTCCATCCTTCAAGATACTCAAAAC